CTTTTGAATGACTTAGATGATTACTTTAGCCAGCTTGTATGCTTGTATGATTTCTTTTGTATTTATATATTTTTGAAAATGTTTTAATGTAATACAAAAAGTATTGCTTGAAAATGATATATTAACCCAGTGCTGTAGTATTCATTTAGGAAATTTATGTGGACATAGATGGCTCCATAAGTGTTCAGCCACCAAGGAGTCCGTTAATCTCTATGATTCAAATGACATGACCATCAGGTCATGAATGAATTTGGTTTGAAGAGCTGGTGACATGAACATGCCATCATGGGAAAATCTGGCATTGGGCCAGGGTGACTCAAACTGGGAAAGACTTGCCCCAAGTACACATACCTCTTAGAGGACGAATAGACTCCTCTGTTGTTCCATTGATAAACAAGTGTGGAATGTAATGTCTGTAGAGCACCAGCTCTAGGGAGGACACCATTCCCATGCTCAGCATCCTGTTCATGGCTGTCTGACCTGCAGTGCAGGTTGTATTACAGAAGAAACACACACACCCTCAGATAACAAAATGTTACTTACTTTCCCGACGGGCATGGCATATACGTACATGCCATGCCCACTGCGAGTTTACTTGTTTGATTGTTTTTACACATAGATGAGCCAATTACAAGTACTGCCTGTCTCGACCACTCACCCTTTTCTTTAATTTTCGAAAATATTTTACGTTATCTTATTTTGCTACTACTAATGTTTATAACATTATGTTTATCATGATTCTTATGATAAAAATAACACCATCAATATTCATAGCACTAGTAAAAAGTACATTTTCCCACCAATTCAAGGAAAGGTGAAGTCAGGTAAGGCAGAGCCATCTATTTTCACAAAAAATATAAAAAATGAGCACAGCACTTCCCCATTTCTTATTCATTTTCCCCGTCGGTAAGGGGTTAATATTCTAGTTATGGATTACCTAGAGAGATGATATGGGAAAATAGTCTTCTACCATCTGGACAAACTAAATCTAATGTCAAATATGGACATTGGAAAAAAGGGTAAACAGGTAGAATTAATAATGGACTCCTTGATGACTAGGTGCCACCAAGCACCTGTACAGCCATCTGTGTATAAATACAATTAATGAACTAAACTCTGTCAGCATGGCACATACATATTAGTCATCCCCTCCGCCATTGGGTTAATGTTTCTAGTTATTTGAACTTAATAATTTGCTTTGTATTGTCCTTTAACAAGGATATCAAACCTATGAAATAGAGTTATTTTTTATCATCATTCAGGCAGTTTATTCAGCAAACAGATCAAACTGCTTTGATTATGTTTTTTTTTTTTTCGGAGATATTGCTTGAATCTTTCCCTTATATAATTTTAAAATGTCTCCCTTTTATTGAATTATTTACACATATAAAGTTTTACTTGATTCCTCGCCTTACAGATGAGTTACGGCGCAAGGCTTGGCCGCGCCTCATGATGATCGAGCACATGGAAGTGACCCCCAAACCCACCCTGGACACGATCAAAAGCCACAAGGATTACCAGCAGGTGGTGCTCGATGTCAACCGGTCCCTCAAACGCTTCCCTCCTGGCATAGATGATGATTACAGGCTGGTTCTGATGGACCAGCTCACCACTCTCATTATTAGGATTCTCATGAAGCATCCTGAACTGAATTATTATCAGGTGAGGATGTTTTTGATGAAGTTTTTTACCTTCGCTGGAATTGTTTTAAGATGTTTAAGCAAGGAAAGTACACAATTCAGAGTGGTTTTGCTTTTGTTTATTTATTAATTTATATTCTATTTTTGTCCTTATTTATATATTTTTTAAATACCTATAGGCACCAATAAGTCAATTACTAGGCTTACCAACCCTCACCTATTTACTCCATTCATTGAATTTTCAAATGTTAACATTATTGTTGGTTTGATATTGCTATAAGTGTTAATATTTTTTCTTTTCTTTTCTTTTTTTTTCTTTTTTTTATTGATAACACAGACAGTGGCAATATAAATAAAATAGTTTCATCTGAAATTTCAAGAAATAAGATTAATAGTCGAGGTCAGGTAGGCCCAGTAATTGCCTGTGCTGTTGGTCCACAAAGCCCTTGTGGAGTCATCTATATGTAAAGAGAAATAAATAAAACATAATGGACACTGCATTTATACATGCACTCCTTTCTATCAGTGGGTTCCAATGTTCTCTCTCTCTCTCTCTCTCTCTCTCTCTCTCTCTCTCTCTCTCTCTCTCTCTCTCTCTCTCTCTCTCTCTCTCTCTCTCCTCTCTCCTCTCTCTCCTCTCTCCTCTCTCTCCTCTCTCTCTCTCTCTCTCTCTCTCTCTCTCTCTCTCTCTCTCTCTCTCTCTCTCTCTCTCTCTCTCTCTCTCTCTCTCTCTCTCTCTCTCTCTCTCTCTCTCTCTCTCTCTCTCTCTCTCTCTCTCTCTCTCTCTCTCTCTCTCTCTCTCTCTCTCTCTCTCTCTCTCTCTCTCTCTCTCCCTCCCTCTCTCCTTTTTTGGGGGTTTTGTTTGCTGGACATCAAATTGTTTGTAATTCTTGCATAATATCGCATTTAATTTTTTTATTACAAATTTTGTTCTTTTTCTTCTCCTTTCGGGTGGTAGTTTTTTCTGACGAAGATAGGATTGGTCTTATTCCATTCATAAAGAAAATAGTCATGAGCTGAGCAAAGGCAGGTACCTTGCTATCTGCAAGTGGCCCAAAATTTGGGTATTAGGCTTACTCCCAGGTGTGTGTCTTGTAGACCTGTTTGTAGTGTAAAGACAACTTGCCTCTCCCATTTTTCTTTTCTCTTCTCTTCTCCTTTTTCTTCTTTTTTTCTGCAAAAGCATAATTTTTTTTTTTTTTAGTTTTCTCATATCTATATTTGTCACTCTAGGTGCTGTCAAGATGGTAGTAAACTCTTTTATATTGCACAGACTCTATATCATATCTCTAGGTAGACTATAACTGTGAAATAACAATAACAAAAAGTAATATTTGTTAGTCACGTAATTTTTTAAAAAGTTTGGTGATATTCAACTTTCTGTCATGTAACCAGTGCCATTCGATGGACACACTGAGTCCATTCACCCTCCAAGAGCTTTGTGTATCAGCAGCATATCCCATCGCTCAGTCACGACTTTTTAAGAGCATGCCAGTCCTTCTGCAGTATTTTACTGACTATTTATGATTCTTTACCATAATTTTTGATTTATTATTCTCTTCTATATCTTCTGTATTTGGATTTTTAGAATCCTTTAAATTTTATGCACTAACTGGTATGTTTCTGATTTGATTAACAGGGTTTTCATGACGTTGCTATAACATTCCTTCTGGTCATGGGCGAAGATGTTGGTTATGAGATGGTAGAGAAGCTCTCTGTCACACACCTGAGTGAGTTCATGCGGCCAACGATGGAGAAGACCACATATTACCTCACCTACATATATCCCATTCTTCGAAGGGCAGACACCAAGCTGTACCAGTTTTTGATAGAGTAAGACTTCATTTTCTTGGGAGAATATTGATTTTTCTTCTTGCCTTTTTTTTTATGACAATAAATTTCTAGTTTGTATGTAATAAAAATGGCTTGTGGTTTAAGAAAAAAAAAAGTTCTTGCTTGGCACTGGAGTTACCTTAGTTTGATTAGATGTTTCTTCAAGGCAGTCATTAAACCATATACAAATTATTCACATGGGCTTAAAGATGGCCACTCTTTGGAATTGATTGTAGTGATGTTCATTTGTCTGAGGATAATGAGACTAGAAGTTTTATGATGTCTATTTTATTTTCCAGTTCAGGTGTAGGAACCGTGTTTTGTTTGCCCTGGCTTATTACATGGTTCGCTCACACACTCTCTGACTACCGCAATGTGGTGAGGTTATACGACTGCTTCTTGGCTTCCCCTTATCTCATGCCGATGTACATAGCTGCAGCGATTGTTTTACACAAGAAAGAAGATGTTTTAGCTGGAGAATGTGATATGGCAATGCAACATTATATTCTTTCACAGGTAAGTAGTTGCATGGCATTCTTCATGGAAGAGTTTACTATTAAGTTGACACTTTTTTCCATTATCAATTCAGTTATAGGATACCTAGGTACATAAAGTTCATTAATGTATTGTCAATACATGTGTCCTCTTCCTGAGTATGTGTTTGTCTTAAATTCTACTTAAAGTTACATACATACACTCACATCAACACTCATCATCCCACATTGAATACCCTCAAACCCTCACTTTCACTATGATTATTACCAGCACCAACACTCCCACTCCCACACTCAACACACCCTTGCACTTGTACTCAAACACAATTATTTGTGTGTACTGGTACTCAGAAATTCCTACATTTCCATACCACTTTTCCTTGCTGCCAATTCTTTCTTTCTCTTTCATTTTCCTCTCTCTTTATATGACTTTTCCACAAAAATTTACTTTTTGTTTTATACTATCTAGAATCTGAAAGAATTAGAACCACTTTGTGTTGAGTTGTAAGATATAAAGGCTGGTAAAGATTTGCAGTGTCAAGTACTTTTCAAATCAAATGACAGGGCTGTCAGGCAGTATCTCTTTGTGCTGTTATTGTTGTAGTTGTTGATTATTTTTTTTTTCTTTTTCTTTTTTTCATTTATATGTATATATAAACAGGTTCCCGATACATTACCTCTGGAGCGCATCCTAGTAGATGCAGGGGAATTATATAACCTTTATCCACCTGACACTTTACAAGATGAAGTCAATGAGTTTCTGCAGAAAAAGTGAGTAGGACATTATTATTCACAATTTTTTTCCCATTATTTCTCTTTTGTTAATTTTTTAATAAAATTATTGTTGTTGCTGATTATCTTCCTAGGTATAGTTATCATACATATTGTATGTAGAGTTCATTTGCATTAATAATATTAATGACAATTGACACTGTATATAATATACATTATGAAATTATATTTCCTTTCAATAGAAAGTTTAGTTTATACAATAATCTCTCCCTATGCTCCAAAGGGCCGAAGAAGAGAAGCTGGAGAAGCAGCAAGTCCTCGAGAGACGCAAGAAGTTCGAAGCAGCGCGAAGAGGTCAGAATTACCGGGGGATCCTTGCAACGGTGTTCAGATACCTTCCACTGGTGCCAGCTCAGAGGAACATGCTCGTGAAGGTGGCCGCCTTTGCAGTGACTGCGTACATTGCCACTAGCCTTTATAGCTACTATTCCAATTCAGCTCTTGTGTTTCCTTTTGTAGCAAAACGATGATGATATATGAATTACAGTGCATAGCTCTTAGTTCCTAGTCAGTTTCATCACCTAGTCTTTCACTCTGCTCGATTATTTTTAAAAAATTGAATGATGGGTAGTAAACTTTATCTTTTTGCTCTGTAAACTAATAAAATAATGGAAGAAGTATGTTAAATGTATATAACATAATTATATTGTACAGAGTTTTAGAGTTTTTTGTTTTTCTTTTTGTATTTTCAGAATATATAATATTAGCATGTCAGTTTGTTATATTCAGGGCTCATAATTTAGAGTTTTTGTAAAGTTTACTATGGAATAAAGTGGTTGTTTAATCCCCCTTTTATTTTCATCAAATAATTTACAATTTAATCATTCTCAACTGGTCATTATCTCCAAAGAAAAAGAAAAACCTTGTGGAACTCAAACTTGCCTAAAGAAAAATATATGTTCTTTTAAATAAAGTTCTGTGCATAAAAAGATTAAGAGGAAATATTACTAATTGTGCGATGTTTTCAAAGTTTATACCAACTGACAAATTCAACATAATGTACATACCTTTGAAAATATTACAAAATCATTTACTACCACATTACATAATTATCAAACAGCTTCTTCATACATACAATTATTCCTTTTGCAATGATAACCAATATCATTAGACTTATTCAGACAATTGAAATCAAAATGGTGTGTCAACATATTTGGTTTTTGTACTTGGAGATCCTCATTTCTGGTGAGATATTTTGCTATGTTATATATATATTTTTCTTATATTTCATCATATCAAGTGTATATTGAACTCATATACCGGGTAAATGTACCTCCCAAAAGACCAAATGTCACTTTGCAAGTTTGGTCTCAATATTTTCATAATTGTATTTCCCATATCGTCTGTGAACACCGCATCATCCTCGAAATCAGGAGGCAGCAGCATCAAGCATGAACTGTGGTATTGCATAATCAAATAAAATGAAGTCATACTTGTAAATATTGTAGATGTCCTTAAGCATGGCTGGAGGTAAGGATTTAAAGTAACTCTCGTAGCCCTTTACTTTAGCCTTACTTCTTTTAACATTGTGTTTCAGTTTGATGTCTATTTCTTTAATTTCTAGAACATTAACAAGGTAAGCCAAGTCTTCATCAAGAGTCTCAAGTTTGATAATATAGTCAAAGTTTCCTGTGCAAGGCTTACAGTTCCAGGAAATTGGTCGCCAGTGATTATTTGTCCATGAAGGTCCTCTTTTCTGGAAGTATAGTTATTAATAAAAAAAAGATAAATAAAAATATGTGTGTATGTCTGCCTGTGCCTGCGCATGTGTGTATGTAGGTATGTATATAAGTAAGTGTTCTGTGTCAGTGTGTGTATGTCTATGTCTGTGCATGTGCACATGCAATAACACAATGCTGGTATGAGAAGATAGGTAATTTCTACTGAACTAGCATGATCCTAGTTTGACAATTCTTTTGGTGGGTTGTGGTCAATTTTGCTTTGTACTACTCATTCTGGGTCATACCTGTGTGTGTGTGTGTGTGTGTGTGTGTGTGTGTGTGTGTGTGTGTGTGTGTGTGTGTGTGCGTGCGTGCGTGCGTGCGTGCGTGCGTGTGTGCGTGCGTGCGTGCGTGCGTGCGTGCGTGCGTGCGTGCGTGCGTGCGCGTGTGTGCGTGCGTGCGTGCGTGGGTGTGTGTGTATGTGTATGTATGTATGTATGTATGTATGTATGTATGTATGTATGTATGTATGTGTGTGTGTGTGTGTGCGTGTGTGTGTTTGTGTGGTGTGTGTGCATGTTTGCAGCTGTGTGCACTGTTTAGGATTGACTGGAGGAACAACCATATATGTCAAGTTATTCAATATAAATACACATTATGCTATGAGTACACATCCCTTGATGTAAAGGAAAGGCACCTTACCGATTGATGGATGACGTAAGTAAGGAACTGATAGAATGTGACTCTTCTTCCCCAACTATTCAGGTGCTGCCTAACCATGCGCAAAAACCGGGGTCTGCAGAGAAAGAATCTATTAAAAAGATTAAAGTATGAATGCACAAAATGGTGAATTTCCATTAGATATTTATAAACACACACACATCTCTCTCTCTCTCTCTCTCTCTCTCTCTCTCTCTCTCTCTCTCTCTCTCTCTCTCTCTCTCTCTATATATATATATATATATATATATATATATATATATATATATATATATATATACATATGTGTGTGTGTGTGTAAAGGTTATATATATTGACGCCTTGTACATTGGTGAACAGGAGTAGTAATAGCTTGATACC